GCGAATTAAAATTTGAGGATGTCTCGAGCGAAACGCTTGTTTTTGAAATCCCGATCGATAAATCACAGGGTGCGGGCCACTTTTTCGTGTGTTGAGGATGTCTCGAGCGAAACGCTTGCTCCGCAGAGTTTGCCGAGGATGTCTCGAGCGAAACGCTTGTTTTGCAGAGCCGACCGCGACGCGGAAAAGCGCCCCGCGCGAAGGAATTTCGATGATGTTTCGACTAATTTGTTTGTTTTTGTACGATTTCCTGGAATTTTGGCAGGATGTCTCGAGCGAAATGCACGACCCCACCCTAGCACGACCATACCCCAGCACGACCACACCCCAGCACGACCAGACCCCAGCACGACCCCACCCCAGCACGACCCCACCCCAGCACGACCATACCCCAGCACGACCACACCCCAGCACGACCCGACCCCAGCACGACCCTACCCCAGCAAGACCACACCCCAGCACGACCACACCCCAGCACGACCTCACCACAGCACGACCACACCCCAGCACGACCACGCCCCAGCACGACCACGCCCCAGCACGACCACGCCCCAGCACGACCACCCCCCAGCACGACCACCCCCCCAGCACGACCACCCCCCAGCACGACCACCCCCAGCACGACCCCAGCACGACCACTCCCCAGCACGACCACACCCCAGCACGACCACACCCACACGACCACACCCAGCACGACCACACCCCAGCACGACCACACCCGCACGACCCGATCGATAAATCACAGGGTGCGGAGCACCCCAGCACGAACCACCCCAGCACGACCCCACCCAGCACGACCCCACCCCAGCACGACACGCACCCCAGCACGACCACACCCCAGCACGACACCCCAGCACGACCCAGCACACCCCAGCACGACCCCAGCACGACCACACCCCAGCACCCCAGCACACCCCAGCACGATCACACCCCAGCACGACCCCACCCCAGCAAGACCACACCCCAGCACGACCGCACCCCAGCAAGACCACACCCCAGCACGACCACACCCCAGCACGACCACGCCCCAGCACGACCACGCCCCAGCACGACCACGCCCCAGCACGACCACCCCCAGCACGACCACCCCCCCAGCACGACCACCCCCCAGCACGACCACCCCCCAGCACGACCACACCCCAGCACGACCACTCCCCAGCACGACCACACCGCCTTGGTTGAGTGGTTGCCTGTCGTCGTGGAATGTTTCGTGGGGTGTCTCGTGGAATGTTTCGCGGGGTGTCTCGTGAAATGTTTCGTGAGGTGTCTCGTGGAATGTTTCGTGAGGTGTCTCGTGGGCTGTTTCGTGAGGTGTCTCGTGGGATGTTTCGTGAGGTGTTGCCCAGTTGGGTATCATGAAAACGTGTCCATGCTCCACATGTCTATATCCCTTTCCGGGTTCGTGGGTCCATCATGTTTTTGAAGTGGACGATGGCGACGACAACGGACGACCCACGGTCGACGAGCGGGATAATTACGACGACGACCGACGAAGGAGTTAATGACGACGAACCGACGACGACGACGACGACGACGACGACGACGACGACGACGACGACGACGACGACGACGACGACGACGACGACGACTGACGGCGAACGGCTGCCGACGACCGACGACTGGTGACGGCGACGGGTGGAAGGTGTTTCGTTCATCGTTTTCGCTTCCGAGCAATACCAAGTCAGGCCGTGCACCTCTGGCCTGGCAGCACGCGAGTGAGCGCCTCTTGGGGCCTCTTGGTTCTTGGGGCTTCTTGGGAGCCTTTGGGGCCTCTTGGGGGCCTCTCGGGGTCCGCTTGGGGGCCTCTTGGGGACCTCTTGGGGGCCTCTGGGGGCCCCTTGGGGGCGCCTCGGGGGCATCTTGGGGGCTCTTGGGGTCATCTTGGGGTGGAGGACTAGAAGGGTCCGTTCGGGTTCATCCTCTTGAGGCCATCTTGGGGGCCTCTCGGGGTCGTCTTGGGGGGCCTCCAGGGCTATATTGGGGCCCTCTTGGACCGTCTTGGCTCCTCTTGGGGGCCTCTTGGGCTGTCTTGGGGCAATCTTGGGGGCCTCTTGGACCGTCTTCGGCGCTTCTAAGACGGAAAAGGCGATAATGTTAAAATGCTTCAAAACTTATTAGCAACTTTATTATTGTACCCTCTTGGGGCCCTCTTGGGGGTCCTCTTGGGATCTCCTCGAGGCGTCTTGGAGGCCTCTTGGGCCGTCTTCAGGCCATCTTGGGCGTCCAGGAGCGCTCTTGGGCCGTTTCGGGCGCCTCCTGGACCGTCTTGGTGGCCTCCTGGGCCTCTTTTGGCCCGTCTTGGGGCGGTTTGGGATTCCGGGGGGGGGGGGAAATGCTTCAAAGAGGGCATGCTAGAGCCTGTTCTCAGCTTCGGATCAGGCCTCGGGCGTACCAAGCATTCGAGTTGCAAGCAAAAACTTCAGAGCTGTCCTGATGAGCCCGCCTCCCGCGGTCTCAGTCGCGACACCCGGGGGTCAGGGTACCTCCCGCGACGCCCGAGGTCGTCCCACACGGGCTCGGCGAACAACGTTCCGATGGTGGCGCCTCCACGTGGGACAATGTCCGCCACGAGCAACCACATCGCGGGGTTCCCTGGAGAAGGAAAGAAACACCACCATGTACGGTCTGATGGCACAGTCTGAAGTCGCTCTCTCGCGGGGGCCTTCGCCCTCATCCCCCCTCCTGCTCCCCGTGCCTCTCCTGCTGTTGTTCCTGGCTTCCTCGCCCTCCTCCCCCATTCCCCCTCCTCCCTTGCCATTTTGGCGCAAGCATCGCAGTCACGCTCGAGCAGCGGGGCCAGGGCCAGCGCCACCGGGAGCGCCCGATTGATCGGCGCCTGGACGATCGGTGCGTTGGCCATGGGCCGACCAAGCGACTGCGCTGCTGCGGAGCCGACCGCGATAAGGCAGCCGCGGCAATTGGGGGACGAGTTCACCGAGTCCAAGCGCAAGTCCAAGTTGACCGAGAACAAGGACGATGACCAGCGTCTGTGCGACGACTACAGTAGCAGAGCGCTGCGGTGTAACTTTCGCAATCAGCCAGGCGATTTGATTAACTAGGCGGGAGGGCTCGCGCGCAGATTGAAGCACTCCGATTTGAAAGCTTGCCAGGACAGCGGATCAATGTTCTGGTCATGGTGATATCGCAAGCCGGGTGTAGGATTCAGTGGGGACGCGCATCAAGAACCGCTGGGAGTCACCGCGCGCTACGCGGTGACTCCCAGCGGCCGTGGGATGAGCGGTTGCGTTCAGGGTGTTCTGGGTTTCCCCTCAGGTGCACTTCGCGCTCGGTTTCTTAGGGTTGGGTTTCTTGCGAGGGTTTATTGCGACCGCGCCCGCACTGCAAGGTCCTCTGGAGGGTCCCCAGAAATTCGTGACAAAGCGAGCATGCGCACCTCTAGTTCTAGGTGACCCGCTGGGGTCCCCCGCGGGCTTCTGTCTGGGAAGCGGTTGCCATCCTGGCTCGAGCTGTCCCAGGGCCTTCGCGCGATTGTCAAGAGCGAGGCACCCCGGACGCAGTCGGCGCAGCGGCCGCCCCCAGAGCCTCGGCGGCAGAGGCGCTGGCTAATGCCAGGGGGGCTTGGGGCGGGGTGCCTCTGCAGTGCTGGAGCGCGCTGTGCCCACCTCAGAAGCGACGGCACGGCCGTGGCCTTCGGAATGGGTTTGGGGAGTGCGAGCTCCCGCGCCAGTCGCGGACCTGAGCAGTATTCAAGCTGCTTGCGGAGCGTGCCGCACCGTCCTGCCCAGGATCGACGGCGCGGATGTGGCCTGCGACTTGGCTGCTCTAGTCGGCGCGACATCTTGATGGTGGTCGCGGACTGGTCCTGCACGATGCTGCCGCTGGAGTGCGCCACGCTGTCCTGATCAGGGAGGTGTCACGGCCGTGGCTTGCGACTCGAATGGGTACGTATGGCCAGCTGCTGGTGGTACATGCCACGCTGGCCTGCTCCGTCGCGACCGTGGCACGGTCGTGGCCTCAAGGCTGGACGGCCTCGGCCAGCGTGGTGGTCGCGGACTTGGCCTGCGAACAGTTGCCGTTGGACCGTGCTGCATCGGCTTGCTTGGATTGGCGGCACAGCCGCAGCGTGTTTGTCGAATGATAACCGTTAGCGCGGCCACCCAGCAGTGGTCGCGCGCGGGCCCGACCTGAACGCAAGTTACCACCGTAGCGTGCCGCGCCGTCCTGCGCGGCGCGACGGGGCGGCCAGAGCTTGCGGCTTGAAGGCGGTGGCCAACACGACAAGGAGCCCGTCGCAGACGTGGCCCCCGCGCAATTGCCATGAGCGCGCCGCGACGGCCTGTTCAGGCTGAGGAGCGGCGGCACGACTGTGCCCTGAGGTATGGGTGGCCTGGTCAATACGCGCTCAGGCGCTGGTCGCGGACCTGACTCACGCGCAGCGGCTGCCGGAGCGTACCGCGCCGCCCTGTTCAGGAGTGACGGCGCGGCCGTGGCCTGCTGCTTACGGGGGGGTGGTGCGCGCGATCTCTCGGCGCGTATCCTGGACAATACCCGAGCGCAGGGTACCGCAAGAGCGAGCCCCGCTGCTGCGAGCCACGCCGCCCTGCCCAGGAGCGACGGCGCGGCCACGGCCTGCGGCTTGCGCGGGGCAGGTCAGCGCGGTCTCTTAGCACGCGTCGCGGCCCATACCTGCGCGCAGGTTGCCGGACCAGCGCGCCGTGCGAGCGGCGGCTCAGCCATGGCCCGCAGCTTCGACGGTCGGTCGGCGCGACCTCCCCGCGACGGTCGCCGCGTGCCGCGACAGCAAGGGCGCACCCCTCTGGCCCCCGCCCTATTGGACCCTCTGGCCCGCGGCCTCCGGCTGGAAAGGCCCTGGCCAGCGCGACCTCCCCAGGCTGGCCAGGCTCTGGACCGGCGCTCGCGCAGCCGATCTTGCGCGTTGTGCCGCCCTGTTCGGGAGCGACGGCGCGGCCGCGGCCCGCGGCTTGCTGGCCGCGGTCAGGGCGACCGCCGGGCACTGGTCGTGAACCTGCCCTACCCGGGAATTGTGGGAGGACGCCTCGGCGATGCGGCGCGATCCACCGACCCGAAGGATTGCAAAAAAACCCGAAGGATTGCAAAAAAACGAAGGATTGCAATCCTTCGTTCTAAGGTTTTTTTTGCAATCCCGTGCTGGAGCGCGTGGTTCTGTCCTTCTCAGGAGCGGCGGAGCGGTCGTGACCTGCGGCGCGGGTGGCGCCGGCCGGCGGGGCGCGGGTCGACGGCCCGGCTTGCGCGCAGTTGACGCTGAGGCTGAGCATCGTGCAACCGTCCCGCATCCCCATGGGCGCGGCCTGGGCTCCACTGGCCGATTTACCCCAATTGATGGGGATGTAGGCCGTTTCCTTCGGATTTCGATGAGTTCATTCCCAACTGGGGGGCCGATATGGTGTGGGTCTGGGCAGGGATGGGGATGCGGACAGGGATAGGGGTCGGTCAAACGATACCGAGGGGCGTGCTGCGCAGTCCTGCCCGTGAGCGACGGCGCGACCGAAGCTTGCGGCGCAGGTGTTCTGGTCAGTCTGGCCCCTCGGCTGCCCGAGCCGTCGCTGGAGGGCACCGCGCAGCCATCCTCGCGAGCGACCGCTCGGCCATGGTCTGCGGATTGGATAGCTGGTAAGTCTGACCTCTAGGCGCTGGTCGAAGACTCGGCCCGCATATGCTTATGCTGACGCTGGTGCTGATGCTGATAACGCTGATGATGATGATGATGATGATGATGCTGATGATGATGATGCTGATGATGATGATGATGATGATGATGATGATGCTGAGGATGAGGACGAGGATGCGGATGATGAAGATGCTGATGATGATGTTGATGTTGATAATGGTGATGCTGATGCTGATGATGATGATGATGATGATGATGATGATGATGATGGTGTCGGGGATGATGACGATGATGATCATGATGATGCTGATGATGCTAATGCTGATGCTGATGCTGATGCTGATGCTGATGCTGATGACGATGATGATGATGATGATGATGATGATGATGATGATGATGGTGGTGATGATGATGATGATGATGATGATGATGATGATGATGATGATGATGATGATGATGATGGACATGGTCATGGTCATGGTCATGGTCATGGTCATGGTCATGGTCATGGTCATGGTCATGGTCATGGTCATGGTCATGGTCATGGTGATGGTGATGGTGATTGTGATGGTAATGATGATGGCGACTTGGGTTGTTCTCTGGGTCTGTTCGCCATGCTGTCTGGAGGACTGCACATCCAGCCGCCATAGTCCGCAGATTCACGCAACCTGTGGAGTGTAGCCCGGAGCATGTGGTCTGTTACGACGGAAGACGCAACATGTATATCCCGATTGCATTATAAAGAACGCCTTTGTCGGGGCCCTCATCAGGCAACCAGGCGTCGCATAGCATGGGCACTGCATTGCATTCAATTCCATAGCATTGCCGCATCGTCACTATAGTTATCATGGTGCGTACATTCAGATATTGCCTAAGATAGTAGTTGCAGTATCAGTGGTGTGCCAGACGGTGCTTTGGTTCATTCACAGGGTCACGGCTCGAGGGTGTGTGCGCGTGCTTTGGCGGATTCGGGGTCGCGGCATTGGGGTTCTTACGCAAACGCGCATGCGGGGGCCGAGTCTGGGAAATACCAGGAAGAACCCCCCTTTCGGCCCCAGATGCGGTTTTCCTCGAGCAGGCGCACAGGCCGCATGGGCATTGCAAGGAAGTGTGCCCCCTGCGACCCCCCTATCCTGCCTCTTCCGTCGCCGGGCGACGGGTAACAACGGCGAGCAGGCCAGCTCAGATCCATCCTCCCTCAAACGCGTCCCTGTGTTTCCCCCTCTGCCCTTAGGCTGGCTCCCGTTTTCCCGCCTTCTCTGGCGCGTCCTCCTCCTCTTTTTCCTCCTCTTCCTCCTCTTCCTCCTCCCCCCCTCCTCCTCTCCTCCTTCCCCCTGCGAGTCGGAAAAGGAGGGGACGACGACGATTAGGAGGAGGAGGAGCAGCAGCAGCAGGAGGAGGAGGAGGAGCAGCAGGAGAAAGAGGAACACTAAGAGGAAGTGCCGCTCGCGAGGTGGCGGGCCCGTTTCGTCTGAGACATCCTCGCAATTCTGGGCTCCGCTCTGTCCTGACCCGAGGTGATCCAGCCCGTTTCGCCTGAGACGTCCTCGCATCTGTAGTTCAGAGATGTTCTGACCTGACGTGGTCTGGCCCGTTTCGCCTGATGCATCCTCGCAACTCTAGGCATAGGGATGGTCCTGACCTCCCGGGGGCTTGGGTGCCTCCCGTGTGGCCTGATAGGGGGGGGGGGCAAGAGCATCGAAAGGGGTTTTCGAAAAAATCAGCTGTGGATTCGGCGCGCGCAAACAAGATTCCCCTCCTCGATCGGTGGATTCGGAGCTGGTGGCACGGCTGCCCAACCCCCGATCTGCGGATTCTGTACGAGTACGCCAGACGACCCCAGGACCATCTGCAGAAAACGTGCGTGTCCGCAGATTGCCATGTGGGCGCACCCCCTGTCCGCAGATTGTGCGCGCACAGGCCCAGGCAATCTGTCTACACTCAACAGTACAATCTGTGGACTGGGGACACTCTGT